GTTTCAACCACTGAACACATTTCAAATTCAAGGGAATATTCATTTCATCACAACACAATTCATATTATCACAACACATACAAAGCACTTAATAAACTTTACAATTATGCGTTCAACCGTAGTAGGCACATGCGCTCATTGAGCGGCTTTAATTTTTCCTAGAAAGGTCCTCCATTTCAAAAAGGTTAAAGATCGAAGTGTTTACCAAAGGCCGGGGGCATGGAACATACGCGGAGGCGTGCCCTTTTTGCAGTTAATCGCCGTCATCATGCGTAAATCAATGGACGCGTAATTGAGTACCAGCTTCCGAACCGACGTCATGACGTCATACGTCATGATAATATCAAATTACAATAGTGCTTACGGTTTATAAATCCATRGATGTATTCCATATTTAACATGTGCGCAATATAGACGCAACACCTATGACRAYCTTGTCCTTGTGTTTATTCGCCTGTTCCTGAAGGGATGAGGGCCTGGGGACGAGGGAGCACCTACGAAAACATGGACCCTCAGATGTCTTGGCATCCTCACATCTCCAGTATATATCATATCCACGAGGCTCCTGTCATATCTCCATTCAATGGCAATATACTGTACATGGGTAATTGCTCTATCAGTTAACAGTTTTTGTCAAGTCTTTTTCCTTTTGTAATGTGTTTAATCCCCGGCTTCTCGTCATCTGGTTCAAGTCAAAATCACGCGATCAATCTGACTAATAGAGATAGTTGGTTGAGAAAACTCACTCGCGTGCCTATTTCCGAAACATACATCTCCATATCTTAATGAATATTGAAGAAAGCTCCTTCGAATACCCCCTTTTCAGTGTTGGGGTCTGAATGGATGTTCGTAGAGGTTAAGTCTGACGCAACATTGGATCCTGGGGGGTGGGGAAGGGACAATATTATCATCGCAGGAGGAGCGAATGATAATTGTGTCTGTTCATTGGAAAATTCTCAACTCTTTTTCTCCAGGATTGTAGCTGTACTAGTATTTCTAAGCTCACAATAAAATTGGATTATATCAAAAAGATGTCATTTGTCATTGTAAAAGACAATGCACATGTCCACATTTAACACTTATGACAGAGACATTGAGAAATGAGCACAGCTTTGACCTCAAATAATACAGCAAAAAGCCGGACAGACTCAGTACTTTCCGGATTGATTGAAACAATTTAGTAGCTCATGTTTTCCATGTTTGAGCGAGCACTACTTTTCCTGTCTACCGACATTGATCCCTTAAGTCTTTCCCGTGGTTAAACGTGATTAAAAAACTCATTTTAAAATGTCAAACTGTCATTTGATATTAATAAAAAATGACTTTCACTATCAGATAATCAGTGCTGACATACTTTCTTTACCTGTGTATTGTAAGAAAGCAATTTTTGRATCGTTCGATTACAGGTGTCTTTGAAATAAGGAAGAGAAAAAAGACTTCCTTGTCTCGCGACGGCTTCCCTCGGAGTGAAAAAAAAAAACCCTTGAAAAAAGTGTATTGGAAAGTGTGGTCAACTCGTGAACATTTTAAGACTTCCTTCCTTCATTTCATTTGTGTTTTTTTGTCGGATTCAATGTCAAAGTCATACACCGAATTCAAAAGAGTGATATATCAGATTTTGATTTGATGATATCGGGGACAAACTTTTGCAATAAATGTCGTCTCCTTTCGCGGTCATATCTCACTTACGCGCGGTATCTCATCAGCATTGACATGCTGTTTTATTGGAATAACTACTTTTCCATATTTACCGAGCATTTTGAAAATCAGTTTAGAATATACYTTTTTTTGATAAATGTGTTTTTTTTATATKAAGTGTTCAAAATGARTCACACTGATGAATGAATGACCACTTGATTTTTGGGTTTACGGGGGCGTGTTTTGAATGCTCTTTACATGAACTTTTTTCGTTTGTTTCGTTATTATTCTATAATTAAAAAACCATTCTAGGATTGTTTTCATTATCAAGTTACAGCGAGATCTATCGCGGTGTCGGGAATCGATTAAAACCATCTGTCCGTTGGTGCTGTTCAATTGTAAAAGAAAAAAGGTCCAACAGAGAATCTATAAATGGATTCATTCTACACTTTATCTCGATAAACATGTGTGTAAAAAAAACATATTAGTTAACCATGTAGTAAACTTCCTTTGTATAGAATAAATAAAACCTTAATAAGTTAAATCATCGTTTTATAAACCGAAAACAACAGACAATCGAAAAACAATTACAGCGCGAGAAGAGATTTGCGGCGACCGAACTATATAACAAGYAATTTCGGCCAACTATCGGGAGCTGATCTTGATTACCTCGAGCTAAAAATGTCTTTTTTCAAGCCGATAGYAAAAAAAACAAGATTGGACTGCGATAGCATATAATTATTCTATCTTGTGCAACAATTTTCAAGCACGTTTTCCAACAGTATAGGTGAGTGTTTCCATTGCACGTYTAATCGCTCTGGAGAACAATCATAATTTGCTGTATAGCGACCACCAAGGTAGCATTAAGCCTAATAAATGTTTAGAGTAGCCTGAATGTGAATGAAAATAACCGATTTACCTCCTTTAAGTGGCCAGCGCAAAGACACMCTAAGTTAAATTTCAAAAGACACCGATTTCCCAGTGCATCTTCTGTTCGCTACGAGCTTTTTAAAATCCTTTGAACAAACAATAATGAAGAATGCGCACACGGGGCGAGAAAAATAACACAACACATTATTACTTAAATATGATCTGAAAAAAAAATTTGAGTAATGAACTTTACAGAATGTCAAGAGAATTCATCGACATTAATTCCAGCACAACCCTTCTGGGCTCCACCTTCGAGATATGAGATTAGATCTAAATTATCACTGTTTTCTGAATACATTTTTCATTTCCACTGACAAGTTTTTTATTGTAAAACGAGGAATAGTGATTTTGTCTGCTAAAAATAAATCAATAAATGAATTTCTTCTTAAATCAAGGAAATTAGGAATGCGCAATGACGTCATTTCCATGGCAACTGGTATGATTGACGTAAAAAAGAAATCAGTATATATCAATGGATAACCTCCCCGCCAAGAAGACACTTTGCCTAACAACCTGTCTGGAAAGATGGCTCTTTCATCTAGTCTTAACACAAGTGCGGCCAATACTAGTGGCTTTTATCAGGGTATGAATGCTTCAATTCCTCGGTTTAGACCACCATTCTCACCAATTCTGTACCTTTTATTTGTGTACTACGCTATTGCAGTGCTGGCCTTGTCTATTATCTCTAATCTTTTAGCATTGGCTGCGTGTTTTAAGCTGTACAGACGAAACCCGTCCGTGATGCTTGGCTACTTGGCCAGYCTMAGCGTRGCAAATTTGTGYTTCAGTATACTGGGATCGTTTGACTTTTCGATGCATTTTTCTCTAACTGGAGAGGTTGCATGCAAAGTGGAAGGTTTTTTGACAGAGACTTGTTACATGGCAGCTATTATTATCTTAGTCTGTATCAGTTACGAGAGGAAGAGGGTAGTTGCTACTCCAATCTTGGCAAGACTGAAGGAATTACACTTCCGCAAGTTATTACCTTTGCTTGTTTGGGTCTTCTCGTCTATTCTCTGCAGYCCACTGTTGATTTTTTACACTCGAATACATGGAACATGCACAAGTATTCTTCTCGCTAGTATTTCTCGTTTGATCTTCTATATCATCCAAACTGTTGTCGTYTACGTACTSTCTTTGTTTCTCATGTTCTGGGCACACCTTAACATTTTCAAGACTTTGTCAAGACACAGAACTTTCAGAAGAGGCTCTTCAAGCGCGGCAAAGATTTTTCGCAGCGACGCCAAATTATCCAGGATGCTCGTTGCTGTCATAATCGTCTTCGTTGTCTGCCATACACCTTACATGTCAATGCTTCTCATGATAAACTTTGGCATTGAAGAGAGAACAGCAACATGGCAGATTACATGGCACATTGCAAGACTTCTCATGTTCTCACAGACCACTATCAATCCCTTCATTTACTGCTTCTTTAGTAARCAGTTCCGTAAAACTTGCAAGGATATCTTAACCTGTCATTGTTCCGCATCAAACCTTCAGGTTCCTCGTCTGCGTGCTACATCAGGAACCACTTCGCTAGAGCTTCAAGCAGTTCCGTGTTATGACGGAAATGGTGGCCCGTATGAAAAAGACATCACTGAAATGTAGTTGATTAAGTCATAAAAAACATTACTTAAAACAACTGAAAAGAACACTTTTCAAAGGTAAAACCTGTTACCGAGTAATCGGATTATCATAAGCCCACTTTATTCCTTAAGCAAACTACTAACAAGAGCTGCTAGTTTAAATAGTGTGAATTTACAGTACAAAATCCTGACATTATAGTCACTGTGTACATATACTAAAGACATTAAAAGCAAAAAAGCTGATAGGGAAGCTATGGCTTTAAAACTGTGAAACCCTCAGGCAAGATGACAGTTGCCTGTTGTCTTACCACTAATTATGTACAATTTCTAGTTTCACATCGATACAATGCAAACAGCAACCGCGGACTTAAAAAGGCTAATGTTCTTGTAGCCAACTGGGCGAGTTGTTTTGAAAACCAATCTGAAACAGCCGGTTGTCGTTGATAAACCTTGACAGTACGCACCGTATGATAGTATATTATCTGTATCATGATAATGTTGCCTCGAGGCTTTCATGCACTCTGTGTCAAATGTATCATCAATGAGGAGAACTCTTCGTGGGATGTCATCATCATCAAAACTTCCGACAACCAAAGTTCATCATTATTAATACATCCAGCTTCGTAATGCAGAAAACACTCTAGTGCAAACATCAAGCGTGAAAAAAAATATTAACCAAACATTGCCAAATAGCGCAATATAGTGAAGATTAGACAAATGGCAATCAGTCAAAGGAATTCGCATGATTCGTACAATTTTAATTACTGCTAAAGTTCTTCATCATGGTTTTAGTTTTTGCATCTCGCGCATAGACTAAAACAAATAAGATTAATTGATATAAAACGGTTACTATAGATTGTTCTGATCGTTTTTATTAAAACAAAATAAATGTAATACCAAATATATTCATATTCCTAGTTGATATTCAACGTAGAATAGAATGAGACAGTAGGTGCAATATTTCTGTTTTATTACAAAACCATCGCCAGGCTACTTATGAGTCATTTAACCTGATGATGGTTTTGTAATAAAACCGAAATATTGCTCTTACTGCTTCATTCTATTCTATGTTGAATATCAACTGGGAATATAAATATATTCAATATTGGGTTTATTTTGTTTTATCTAAAAAACAATCAGCTTTTTCTGGCGTTTTAAGGAAATACACGAATGAAAACGGGCGTGGTCGATCATGTCAGCAATAGCTTCTACATTTATCAACATACAAAAACTCGATGACGCTTTAGTGTAGCCAAAGTCTGATAGCAATCGACATTATAAAACATTATTACAACTAAAACTAAAACTAAAACTAAAACTAAAACTAAATTTATAGAATAATTTATGGAATAAAACTGTAAGAAAAGTAAAGCCACAAAAAAGCTAGGCTGCAGGAATCTTGAAAGATTTTTCTAGAGTTGGGCCACATTAGTATTATTATTATGTATTTATTGCTCCAGTGACTGAAAGAATTGTAAACTAGTTATGCGATTAGCTGACTAATCCTATTCATGGAAAATGTAATTATCTCATAACACTGATCATGCTAATGATGATGATTATTATTATTACTATCATCAAAATTATTACAACGCACATTAAAAACTGATGATTATTACATAAACTTATGTCTTACTTAAATCATTAAGCCGGCAATATAACAATTATCTAGGGTTTTATGACTAAGGCTGAAACTACAAGACACAAAGAAAGATTGATTTTTATCCAGTATAACCAAGTCCCAGGCCCTTATCCCTTCGCATGGCGTAGGGCGAAGGGATAAGGGCATGAGCACTAGCCCCCGTAGCAGGTCTAGCAGACGTTCCAAGCGGTTCGATTCTCTCCCGCAAAAACTCGCTCGAGTGCGCAGACGTTTCTGCGGGAGAGAATCGAACCGCTTAGAACGTCTGCTACGGAGGCTACATGAGCACGAGGTTTCTAGTTTCTATTTTTACTACGAATTAAATCTACAGTTGTCCACGTAAAGAGAAGACAACACAGGAGAGGAAGATGAACTTCTTTTAGTGTATTTATTACATTTTTGCTATTTTTTTGTTACTTTTTTGCTGAAAAAAAGGTTTTTCATAGCAAAGATAGCCTGCGTCACGTAAGGACAAATACGGAAGTTTGGTCGGAGTGACAAGGGCTAAAGTATTGGGGTTGGGATACCTGTGCGTTTATGAGGCAGACACACCAGCACATCATATAAACGGGGTGAAGAAAGAGGAAGTGTTCGTCGTACAAGGTAAGTGTAGTGGCTTTTATTAAGCTTGTTGATATGGGAAATCACGGGTAGTACATCTTCACGAAAGCTGTTTGAATAGCGCAAAGTGAAGATTGTTGTTGTGGAAATACAGTCTTACCAAAACAGATCATCAAATCACATGCCACAATCAGTATTACCCGGAAATGGAGTACAGAGCACTCATAAAGGCGGTTTACACGGTACTTGCGTAGTATGCGATCAAGATTTTCAGCCATGCTTCAACATTCTACTGCAAGTCGTAGGGTTTTAGTACGACTGTTGTAGGCGAGTCTTAGGGACATTTACACAATTGTTTACACAGCGCGTTTACTTCAAGTTTACTACGTATACGATCGTACCGTGATGTCCGCCTTAATCTTCAAATTTATTGAATTAGGAATATTTTACTGTGATTTCTCATCAATTAATTAAGACTTATAGAAGGTCTTCAGTGATCTTATTTAAAGAAGTATCAACTGTTTACTGGGTAGTATCGACTATTATTTGACTTCGATACCATAGATGTACTGTACAGCCTTTTGCAAAAATTATGAGAATTGTCTAAATATCTAAATATCATAATATCCATATCCACATATTGTCCGGAACACGAGGGTTTACTAGAATAATTCATTGTTTACATCGAGAAAATGTTCAGAACTACGGATAAGTCTGTCGCCAAAAAAACTAAACAATAAAGACAAGAGACTAAGGCCATCGCGTGGGATCATGCACTTGATATTATGATATTTAGATATTTCAACAATTCTCATAATTTTTACAAAAGGCTGTATACGAGCTAATATAAAAATTAGGTAATAAATAATAGCGGAGCTCCAATATCAATATAGAAGAGAATGATCATCTAGTACTACTATTTCAATTCAAGGATAGTTTTAGTATGTACGCTGTTTCAAGGAATGTAAACACAACATATTTTTACTTATTAAATACATATATACCTCTAAACGTTTACACAAAAAAAGAAAGTAAAAAGAAATATTACTTTTATAAAGAATTCGTACTTTGCTAATTCAATTTAGATGAGCTAAAAGTTATATGTTGGATACTTTAATGGAGTTTCTATAATTTAGTTGGTACAAAACGTTTTCTTTTTTCCATTTTGTCAACTAAAGCTTTTTTAAAAACTTTGTTGTGGACATTACATACGAAACTACCACATATTCAATTGCTTTTCTTTTATTGCATTTTTCTGTGATTTGAAAGATGTGTAACAATAGTCTATTTATTGCTAAGCTTGTTGGCGATAAAAGCTTACTTCTACAATAAAAAAATATCAACCATATTTCAATATATTTTGTATCTTCAAAACATTGCTTTGTGGACCCTAGAAACCGTTGTGGACATTACATTCCGGTTCTTCAAAGCTTTTGGCATTTTACTGACAGGTAAATGGGTCTGCATTCAACAGTTGACGTCTAATTATTTTGTTCGCTCACTTACATAACTTCACACATTCAATATCAGACATATCAGGGGCGTAACCAGGATTTTCATTTGTGGGATCCATTGTCACTATGACGTCAATATGATGTCATGAAAATTTATGGCTTTCGCGCAAAAGAATCGTGGTTGATAGAGGAGAAAAGAAAAGCATACGTCGCATGAACTCTGTGTCAAGAAGTTCGCGGGCTCCGTTTTGCTTTTGTAATGTCTACAACAGCTAACATAGGATCCTAAATAGCTGAGATTGATTTGAAGGTTTAAACGATTTGGACATTACTCGTAATGTCCAGAACGCAAATTCAATCATTCCTCCTGTAGGAGAAAGTTAATATTTTACAAATTGGTCATATGACCATGTGATAAGTGTACTATAACCAACGATGAGGCATCCAACGGCAAACTCGCCTTAATTATCCGGTTCAAAAATATCATCGCGACACTTCTTTCAAACACACGTTTTCATCAATTTCGAGGATGTAATTTCTCGATCCTTGTTTTTTAAAATCTCTCTCAATCGAGTTCTGTTGAGTCGTTCTGCTGTCAAAATGTCCCCAGTTCTCGGTGAAAAAAATTCACACAGTTCTCGGTGAAAAAAATTCACACAGATCGTTACTTTCCCCCATATTTTTGCAGTATCTTGTTGTCGAATTGTAAAAGCGAAAATTCATCCTATTATTCCTAATAACCGAGACTCAAAACGCTTTGCAAATGATTTTCCCGCATGTGCACGCGCGTTGTAGGTATGACAAAATTGGCGGGAATTTTCTGTGTTTGGATTTAGCTCTGCTGTGTAATTTTTTTATATATAAACGTTTGAGGAAAAATTTTGATGTTTCAACAAATATTTTGGCGCTTTTTTTTCCTTTTCGTGCGGAGTATGGGTTTCCTGTGGTGGTATACAGACGGAAAGACGGAAGGAAACACTCGAGGCGGGCTTGTAGTACATATTCCATATATGTCACAAGCGAATAGAAGCACCTAACAAGCGAACAGGGGTCCATACTTTTTTTCACTTGTTTATTTTTCTACATTTTTTATCTGCTTATTCGAACTTTTTAGCATTTATTAAAAATTTTCTTATAAATTTTAACTTATTGATTATGAATTATGAATTTAACATTTTATAGCCCGACCCAGAGTCCTTTCCCCTAAACCCAACCCTTTGACTAGAGCCTATCATTCTCAATTTAGAACCTCTTGACCTATAACACATCACGATCCGAAAAATATTTCCACTCCCCATTTTGAACCGAATATTTTTCACTTAAAATTCAAGCTAGCTAGTCACGTGACACTCCMCTTAAAGTAAAAACATATCAAAATTTTAGCATTCATGGCTAAACATCGATAAAAGTCAAAATATCACCAACTCTTACTAAAGAAAAGGCAAGAAGCTCTTTATATACATAATTTTTTGCAAACTTGGCTCAACCCAAGCCTTAATCTACCTGAGCTGTGTAAATGATAAACCTCTGCATGATTATCAACGCCCTGTGTATGTTCATCCATATATGGAAGTCATGTGACAGACCCTACTCCGTTTACTTTCAGCTCTTTCTCATAGTTTCTTTACTTTACGACTTACGGTCATTTTAATTTAATTAATTTATTATTAATTTTTGCTTTTGCTGTTTTTCCTGCTTCTAGTAATAATTAACATGGTAATAATATAAGAGCACAGGGATCCCAACTCATTTTTGATGAAACATAATTTGGGGGGTTTTCCTTTATTTTGTCACATAATTTTATTGTCACATTTCAAATTGTTTTATGTTTTCCATAAAAGATACAATTACAATATGGCAGCAAAGATGTTGTTAAGTCTTGAGGATCAAGTCACATGTCCAATTTGTTTGCAGCAGTATCAGGACCCTCGCATCCTTCCCTGTCTGCACACATACTGTAAACATTGCCTTGAAGTCTTGCTGAATAAAGGACCGAGACAGTTTTCCATAGAGTGTCCAGAGTGCAGGGAGGTTGTAAAGGTAACTTCTATCAATATGATTTATGACTTGACCACACAGGCTACAATTGATTTTGTTTTGTTTTATATGATCTATTTTGGCTTTCACGCACAACATTAGTGCCACAGTTCAATCATGTGGTAAGCGTCTGGGATGTACTTTGCCTGTCATCACCAATAGTGATGACATGTCCTGTCAATTACAGTATGTGACATCATATATCATTTGACCTTGGAAAAATGCTTCAATTCCTGCTAATTTGAACGAAGTCAACAAAGATTGGTCAAACAAATTCTGGCCAACCTTGTCAACTTGTCCTGTCAATTACTGAATGTTATGCTATGTATCACGTGACCATGGGAAAATGGGATGCAGGCGACATAGGCGACATTGTCAAGAGGTCGTGTTTATTACGGAGTGTGAGGCAGCCCGAATAAGTGCTCTAAGAGCGTCAAGTTTGTTTTTCGCCCAAAATTCCAAGTTCCTGTGCTCCATCAGCCCTTTTTTTTCTACGATCATTTTAAGTGTTCATAGCTGTTTAACGCTTGTTGTCCGGATCTTCAGTACTGACTTTTTTCCGAGATTTTTCATTTATTTTGTTCTTTAATGTATATTTGTTTCTACACTGTCTTATATTATTGATATTATTGAACTGCTGTAGATTGATGATGTAAATTCTCTTAAAGTCAACATTTGGGTCAACAAAAACCTAACAACCCTTGAATTGAGGAATGATACAAAGCAAACTGGTATCATATGTGACAACTGTAAAAGCAAGCTATCAGCCGAAGCTAGATGTATGGATTGTGAAAAGTTCTTTTGTGAGATTTGCTTGGCGGCGCATGAGCGCATTTCAATTCTGACTGAAGAGCACCAAGTTGTGACATTAAAAGAAATAAAGGAAAAGGGCATTCCCATCAGAAACAAACCACCACTATGTGAAAAGCACAAAGGAGAAGCAAAGAAACTCTTTTGCAAGACGTGCGAAGGCCTGATTTGTCGTGATTGTATTATCATCGACCACAAAGAACACGACTATAGCTTCGTTGATGACATCGTTGAGGAATGTAAAGAAACAATTAGAGGAGTGATTGAAAAAACGAATGGAATGATTGCCAAGAGTGAAGTTTATATAGCTGAGGTAATATGTATGCGAAATAAACTAAAGACAAAGGAAAGTG